GAACACTAGTTCCCCGAGAAAGCGAAAGGGGAAACGTAAATATTATCCGCTTGCGCAGTATCAGTCACCAGATCAGCGTATCATACTGCTTATCATTGGAAGTGAAAAATAGTGCTCGGACAGAAGTAATTTTCGTCGAAACACAGATCATATACTGATTGTCAGTTTCATCATTTCATTTTAAAATGGAGCCTAGTGGATCAAACATTGTCCACGCTGGTCAGCACCACTTCCAGCTTTTATTCGAGGAGTGTTGTAAACAGAAAGTTGAGTAGGGGGGGGGGGGGGGGGGGGGGGGAAGGGGTGGAGACACTAGCTCATCAGAACATTATGCTATAAAGAAATACGGAGCCCGAAAATGCAAGATCGATTAATTGTTTTGTCACTGACTGGTCTTTTCGTATTTCACGTGACCTCATGCGACCGGCAGTCTTTCAAAGGATTTATGTTCTCTTTGGGCGAATGTACGACTTGATATTGAAACACTGGTCTCAAATGAAGTTCGATAAAAGGTGAAATGAAAGAGTATCTTGAGCTGTTATAAAGGTGTCTTCCAGAGATGACTAAATAAGGTGAAATTGCTGAGTCAAGTCTAGATATAGTTTTCGGTGTGAAATAGAGTTAGAATGGTGAAGAGGGACGAATACTACAAATACTCGCGTCGAAAAAAATTTCGACCTTAGTTTGCAAGACGGATTGCCTTCACTATTTTTCTTCTGGCACTTTAAAAAAAAACTTAAAACCGAATCGACTTTCAACAATCTCCCTTCTGATCAAACAGGATTGCGCAAAATTTGTTCAACAAATTTTTTCCTTGGAACCACCGGCTTGGCTCGAAAAGCCCGTTTTTGGGAGTAATGCTAAACGTATTCGTGTTTATGTATACGTGTATGAAGAGTAAAATTGTGCCCCAAGCTAAGTTAGAAGTTCCTTTCTGTAAAGGCTACCTGCAATACACAAAGTCCTCGATTTAGGTTTGGAAAATTTCAATCAACCTCAGCACCACCTTTATCTGGAGCCAATTTTCACCAAACTCCAAATTTTTATAAATTAGGTAGGCTTTGAGGATAAGACACTTTTCCACGAAAAGTTATTTTTCTCGTTGTGAAGATACAAAGGCCTGTCAGTGGTCATTTCATCCATAATGATTGCGTGGGTCGAAAAATTGTAAACGTGCACGGACAACATTGTTAAGAGAAAGACGTGATTATCGATTATAAAGTACACTTTCGCTTCTGATTTGTTCGCCATCTTGTTGCTTCCAAATAACGATCATAAGGTGCAAAATGAATACAAACAATATATGAACTCCTCGTAAATATGCAAGTTATTTCATGTTATTTAAGGGAGAACTATTTGACTGAAGTAATTTATTTTATCTAACAGTTGCAGGAGTAGTTTGTATGAATATTTCAAAGTTTAGTTAAGTTAATATACAAGGCTACCAAGAATGAAACATAATGGTTTGGTAGATTTTCAAATAGTACTCAGACATGAGCAAGAAGATAACTGTAGGAAAGTCTCACCTCGTCCTTTTGGTATTAAGAAAGCCAAAACGGCGAGAACGAAGCTGTAAGATGCAAAGAACATGTCCTCAGAAATCGCCTGTCATAATTTCAGCGAACAGCGTTTGTGAATGTTTTCAACTTAAAAGGAAAATAAACCAATTGAGACAGCTGAAGTTTAATATACGTTGAAATGGGCCACCTTCTTTGTTTATTTATGAGGTTGTCAGTGGTTGTCACGACTGAATACATTTCCCTAACATGTTGCTGGTTGGCGATTATACATAATGTGTATTAATAGCCTTCAATTTTTTATTATTAGGGGAAAATGTCCTTAATGTGTTTTTCTATTCTGGCTTTATGCATGTTCGTATGAATGCAATAAAATAAGGCTGTTCCTATATATATATACGCTCTCCTTGTCCGACGACCGTTTTCATAAACGTGTAAAACCGCGATATTTTTGTAAAAATCTGTGATGATTACTGATGGTTTAAACGGAATTATTGTTACATTAGTGGTAGTTTTGCAGCTATTTCGTGGGGCCAATTTTCAATGTCGTCGAGTGTAATTCTTTCTTGACACGCTTTCAGTTTCCGTTTGTCATTAAGTCGAAGAGGTGGATTGTAAGGGGGGGGGGGGGAATTACACACAAGTTATCATTGGGTCTACTTTGCAGGAAATTTTCACCATAACAACCGGCTCGTGAAATTACAATTCGTTTTGATTTTCCACTTGATCTTGCTTAAGCACCCAAAATTTAACTTTTCTTATGGGAACTACGAAAGACTTTCGTACAATTTTATCATCATCATCATCATCATGACCATTTATTAGCCACCTAAGATATAATATTTTAACTGGTTTAACAGTATGGTAGGGCGAGGAGACTTCCCAGAAACCACCAGGCTTATAGGGAAGGCCACCTTGGTTATCAATATCTTTGTAATTAAGATGTGGATGTGCGGCCTGGCCA